TGTCACCCTCCCTGCCCCTGCCCCGGGGACTGTCCCTCGGCTCCTGTCACCGAAGGGCGGGGTGACGCGCTCACTGTCCGTCCAGGGCTTGGTCCCTCGGGCCGCTCTGCCCGGTGGGTCTCGGGGATCCCACGCGCGGTGACAGGCAGGCCCCCAACCCGAAACGTGCAGCCGGCGGGAGGCCCACGGGCCGGACACGCGGCCGGACACGCGGCGGGAGGCAACGCTGACAGAGAGGACGCCCGGCTCCGCTTCGGGCTCACGCTGCTTGTTTTCTTCAGAGTCTGCAGCCTCGCTTTGTGTGGAGTTCGAATGTAGACAGCCTGGCAGCACGCGCGTCCGCAGGGAGGACGTGAGGGCCGGTGGACGTCCGCTAAGTGTGCGTGTGGAGTCCCCATTGTCCCCTGACTGCTCACGGTCCCGCGCAGCCCAGGCAGTCGGGTTCACAAGACGGGACTCTTCGAGCTGGTTATCGTGTTAAAGGACACGTTTCCATGTGATTGAGACCAGGGGCTGGTCAGGTCCCGCTCTGAGTGGAAAGTGCGCCCTGACACAAGGTGATTGTACCGCTTGCGCCGGTCCGTTTCGTTCACGCGACCGAAACCAGCCCGCCCGCCCAGCAGCCCACGGACACGCAGCCCTGCCCCTTGCCCCGTTAACCCGGGCGTGGCACGCGGCCGTTTGCAAACGTCCACCGAGCGGCGTTCAGGACCCTTGTCCTCCAGAGCGATGGTCTCACCAGGGGCGTGGAGGGTGAGCGGAGAAAGGACTCTGCCTTTTGACGTTTTCGCGCTCCCGTGGCTCTCAGAGAACGCAGACCCGGGCCGCGGCGGGGCCGGTCAGGGGGCCCCAGGGGGACCTCGGCCTCGGCCGCGCCGTCTCTTCCTTGGGCCGCCAGTGGGAGGCGGCGCGCAGAGTGCGCCGCGGAATCAGCAACACGACCCTTCCCTGAGAAAGGGCTAATAATGCCGCTGTGCCTGTGCGTGCAGCGCCTCTGTGTTGAGGGCCGCGGCCCCGCTGGCCGTGAGGCGGACGGACTGCCGTGCGGTCTCTCCTGCCCCACGCGCTCCGCCCTCCTTCTGCAGAGGTTGCGTGGGAGCGGGCGCTCCGGCGGAAGGGCCGGGGCGAAGGGCTCCCTCCCTGCTGGTCAGCTCCTCCACCTCGCAGGCCGCCTTGGTTTCCCCTGCGCGGCTGGCGCTGATGCGCAAACGGCCGCTCCCCGGGCCTCCTGGAAGCCGCCGGCAGGAAAGGGTCGTGAGTCTTTATGTCCCGATGGCCCTTGCCCAGGGCAGACTAGAGGCCAAGAAAACGGCTCCTGTTTCCAACACCTTAAGTTCGCAGGCAACCTGCAAGCCAAGCTATGAATGTCTCCCTTCAGAGTCGGCCCAGAGGGACTCGGCGTTGATCTTGCGGCCCCCCGGCCCCCAGGCTGACCCTGTGACGCCCTGTCCTGGCCCTTCCGAGAAGTCTCTGGCCCGGCGGCTCCTGGGCGCCTGTTTCGCTGAGTGTCACGGGAAGCGGCTGCAGCTCTTCTGGTGCGAGAGCTTCCCAGGCGTCTCGGCGGAGGGCAGTGGCAGAGGCCGCTAGCCCATCAGGCGGCACGGGCAGCCTGCCTTTGCGTTTGCTCTTGGCGAGCTCAGACATACGTTTGGGGCTGAATCAGGGGCCCGAGTACGTTTAATCGAGGCCGCACGCTTGCCGATTCTTCAGAGAAGGCCGCGCGGTGTCAGAGCCCGCGGGCGGCCCTCTGTGGCTGGGGAAATCCGCCAGCGAGCCTTCGACGTAGGTAGAGATTTTAGGTTGCCTGCTGGCTGTTCCGGGAACACGTTTCTTCTCCAATAGTGGAAAATGAAAGGCAGCTTCATGGGGCGGGGGGCAGGAGGGTCCAGGACACGGGCAGCCCTGGTGGGGCCCTCCGACCTGCGACCTGAGGGTCCCCATCCCGCTCCCCACGACGCGGCGGTCCGCACCCTCAGCCACCCGCACCCTCGCCTCCCGGGCCTGGCAGCGGCTGCGGGGCCCGGCCGCGGAGAGTGTCTCGGGGGGACCCCGGGGCCGCACACGCCCTCCCCGGACAGGCCGGGACCCCGGCACGGCGGTGGCCGTGGGGGCAGAGCAGACTCTGGGGAGCCCGGCACGAGCGTCTGACAGACACGGAGCACGGAGGCCACCCCTCTGTTCCCGGCCCGCGGCCGGAGCCCGGGAGGCAGGAAGTGCCGGGGAGGGCAGACGGCTGCTCCTAGGTCGCGGCTCCGCGTGCTTTGTCCACGCGCGGGGGGCCCGTCTGCAGCCGCCAGGCCCCGGGGCGCTGGCCGGGCTGGGTGAGGGGGCGGCGCAGGGCTGCGCGGGTGGGGGCACGGGGTGAGCAGGATCCGCCTGCCTGCCGGGGGGGGGTCCCCCTGTAGGTTTTCCTCCCCATCTCTCCCTCGGACTTCTTGCTTCTCCAGCATGCTGTCCGCTTCTCGAGTGTTATCTTGTTTGTCCACCTGTGCGCCCTCCTGTCCCCACGGCCACGCCACGGCCCCGTGTGAGGACTGGGCCCCTGCCAGGTCCCCTGCCACCCAGGAAGTCCCGTGGGGGCGGCCCTTGAGGAACCCGCAGCGGGAGCCCCTTTGTGCGGTGGCGTCCCGTCTCCGCTCCTGGGAAGAGGGTCCTTCTTACCCCTCATGGTGCGTCTGCAGGTGCAGAGACAAGGACAAATGCCCTGGAAGGTCAGCGGGCAGGCGTCACCTTCGGGGTTCCGAACCACAGGGGAAGGACATTCTAGGTTCAGAGCCCCTCGGCCCGACACCCCAGCTCCTGGTGCCGGGGGTGCGGTCAGCTGTTAGGTCTGCTCCCCAAGGAGCGCGGCCCCTTCCTCGGAAGAGCGAGGAGTCCAGGGGGCCGGGGAGCGTTCACAAGAGGCAGGAGCTGCCTCTCGGGGGAGGCCCTGGGCGCCCTCCCGCGGTGCAACGTGCGTGGCGGCCGCGCCTCTGCCGAAGACAGGGCTGTGGCTCTCAGGCCGGGGGCCGCCCGTCCGGCTTGCCTGGTGCGGAGACGCCGGCGGGGGCAGCACTGGGCAGCAGGGCCCGGCCGAGCGGGCCGCCGGGAGCAGGGTGTCCGGGTGCGGCCTCACAGACGCTTCGCCCTCCGCAGTGGCTGGGGACCCCGCCGGGCGGCCTCTTCGCTTCCAGCTTCCCGTCACCTCTGTCTTGCCTCCCCCGCCCCTCACAGGTGCGTGCGCACGGCTCACACGCGCACACTGCCACCCAGGTCTTCCTCACGCCGGGAGGCGGCAGTGAAGGTGCTACAAGCCCGTCCCCGGGGAAACGGAGCCGTAGGGTCGGCCCGTCCAGCACAGACGCGGCAGGCGTCGGTCTGGGGGGGAGAAGGGGGCCAGGCGAGGGGCCCTGCTCGGCCCGTAGTTGCTGAAAGGAGACAGTGAGGCGTCGGGGGGAAGTTCCCTATACCCCGCCCCCGCCGTGCCCTGGCCGCTCCCCTCCCCGTGCCGGGGCTTCCGGGACGGCGTCCCCACCCCTCTGCGGGGGCTCTGCTCTTAGAGGACAGGCCGGGGCAGGGGGCGTCCGGGTGGCTCCGGGTGAACGCAGCAAGCTGGCCGCACGCAGGACTTCATGACCAGGTGCTTCGTGCAGCCTCTGCCGGCCCCTCCCGCCCGTCAGGCCTGGGGTCCCCACAGGAGGCCCGTGCTGCCCCCTGGCTCCCTGCGGCCGACTGTCTCAGGGCTGACGGGCCGCCAGCCTCCTGGGGGAGGGGCGGGGTCACTCTCACCGGGGGGCCGTGGGGAGCCCTTTGAAAAGCGAGCACAGCCACACCCGAGACTCATTTCAGGAGAATCGTGGCCCGAGCAGCGAGCAGCGTCCTGTCCAACCTCGCGAGGCCCGGCCCTGGGAGGGGCCGAGGGGCCGAGGGGCGCCCCCCCCGCCCCCGCTGTGGCTGAACGGACCAGCCCCTGTCAGGAAGCCGCAGCCCACAGCCGCTGCTCCGGGGGCGGGTGACAGGCCTCTGCAGCTGGCAGGGGCTCCAGACCACGCGCCCACCTCCTGCCGGGCCCGGGCTCCCCTCGCTGCCCAGAGTCGCGCAGAGACCCCCGGACGGTGCGTTGGGAACGCGGGTTGTGGCCCCCACAGGCCTCCTGCAGCGCAAGGCACGGCCTTCAGTGCGTTTGAAGGCGAGCCCCCAGGCGTGGCCTGCCCCCCACTTGGGCCCGTCGGTCACGGCAGAAGCACGCTCCCCATCCCCCAGCGAGTGCGCGTTTCCCGCCCTTTCTGTCGGAACCGTCCCAGGCGCCCCGGCGGCGCAGTGTCTGCTGTCGCCGGCCGGTGTCAGCGGCAGCAGGAGCGTGAGGTGGCCGCCTGCCGTGCTCAAGCGGCAGCCTGACTCGGGGCTGCTTAGGGCCCCCTCCGAGTCCCCGTCCCCTTCCTCCCTGCCGTCCTGAGCAGGCGGGGCCGCCACGCCCGGAGACAACTGTGCCCGCCCGCCCAGGGAGCTCGGGAGCTCAGGTGAGCAGCCCAAGGCCGCCTGTCCTTGTGAGAGTTCCACTCAGCCACCCCTAGTGGGCGCCCGACGCCAGTGTTCATAGGACCTGTGTGCCCGGGCAGGTGCGAGCCACCTTCCCAAGTCACCCTTGGCCCCCCGGGGCCAGCGCCGCCTCTCCCCAGGCACCAGGGACTTGTGAAACCCGTCAGCTCACCCCAGAGCCTGCCCGCTGCCCGGGCCTGGCCACCAGCCCTTACCCACGCAGGACCCGCCGAGGACGAGGCGGCGGCTCCACCGCGGGGGGCCTGCCTCCGCCTGCACAGCTGTCCTTTGCTGGCTTTTCCCGGGGCCGCCCCTCGCTTTGCCAGACCTGACTTACAGGCACCGGGGAACAAAGACCACGGTGCCCCCGGACAGGACCACGCCCCAGACAGCGCCTGTGTGGGTGGGGGCCGCGGGGGGCGGAGGACACAGGCCCGCGGGGCGGCCGTGCGGAGCGGCTGGCAGGCTGGCGCGCGACTCACCTTGTACATGTTGCACAGCCCGGCCTGGCCGCGGGCGTGAGCGGGCAGAGGGCTCCGGCCCTGCTTGAGCCAGGGAACCTGCCGGAGGGACACAGAGTGGCCAGTTGAGTCCGTGAGGCAGCGAGGGCAGGGCCCCCAGTCCTCCAGCCGCGTCCCCTCCTGGCCGGGCCGGGTCGAGCCCCGCGTGGTGAGGAGGGCTGGGCGGGGACGGACGTAAGAGGACCCGGGGGGTTGGACAGGCCGCGAGAGCGGGGGCCGGGGGCCACAGGGAAGAAGAAGGGGCAGCTCCAGCCCGAGGACTCCAGGGCGGGCAGCTGTCAGAAGGAACAGGAGGACAGATTCAGGGAGGAGATCTTTCCTGCGGCGTCTCCCCCGAGGCCCTGTGCCCGAGTGTGTGGCTGCGCTGCTGATGCCGTGGCCGCGTCGGGCCCGCAGGGCCACCGGGACGGGTGGGGAGGCCAGCCCTGAGCTGGCGGGAGGCCCGGCAGGGCGTCTTGTAGCCCGAAGTGGAACCAATAGAGGTCCCATTGGTTTATCTGCAGTTTTGCTTTTCTTTCTTTTATAGCACGTGTGTCGGCCTCCGCGCTGGATGCACACGGGAAACCGTGCCTGCAGCGCGGGGTGACCGGTGGCCGTCCTTTCGGGCCCCCTCGGGGTAAGGACATCATTTCAGGAGCCCCGGGGGCTCTGACCCACTCCGGGCAGCCACGGGGGGCCCGGCTCGCGCGGGCACTCTCCCTCGTTGTAATAGGATTTCATACTCCTCGGCGGGAGCGATGCGTGGACTTGAACTCCGTGGTTATAAATCTCCCTAAATTGTATTTGCTGCCATTGCACCAGCTCCGGGCCAGCCCCTGCCACCCGTAAGCGGTGTGGTCGAGGCGACGTTACTACAGGACCACAGCCGGTGGCCTGGAGGTCCCCTCTTTAGACTGACCACAGCAGGATGGGGACCGAGAGCGAGGGAGGGAGAGCGAGGGAGGGAGGAGGGAGGCGGAGGGAGAACCGCGCTGCGGTCCAGGCGCAACGTCAACGCCACGGGTTTCCAGGGAGGTGTTGAATTGGCCACAGAGAAGGTGGATTTTTAGTAAACAGGTTAGATGCTGGTCATTTGCGGAAATAAACTGAGTCGTGACACAGAGACCTGTCCTCACATTCCCACCCTTGGGGCCAGAGGCGAGTCCGCGCAGCTGGCTCGGGCCAGGAGGCCCTGCTTCGTGGCCCTGGGGATGCTGGGGACAGGCACGAAGGGGGAGGCTGTTCCCTGTGGGGACGGTTACGGGCTGAGCCTGTGGCGTCTCTGCCGAGACAAGGCCTGGCCGTCCCCAGGGGGGCAGGAGCCCTCAGAGAGGGGACAGGTACGTCCACGCTGCTCACGTGGCCACAGGCCAAGGGGGACGTTGTAACATATTCCTCCTCTGGTGAGGACACTGTCCTGCTTCACGAGCAGGAAAGTCTCGGAGACGCTCCCTGGTGCCCTGGGGGCGGCCGAGCGCCCGGGCGGCCGCACGTGGACGTTGGGGCTCCGGGCTCACAGGAGGGGCTGGGCGGGCGGTGGGCTGCAGGCCTCAGGCCCCGGCCCCGGGGACGGGCCGGGGTTCCGGGGAGGCGCCGAGCACTGGGCTCCCTGCGGCCACCGGCCCAGCGGGGCAGGAGCGGGGGCAGCTGTGGCTCCGCCTCCTCGGTGGCTGAGGTGCCCGGCTGCTTGGAAGAGCAGGAAGCGTCCCCGGAGGGTGCGGGCGCGGGGCCCTGTCCCCGACGAGGGCTGGTGGGCGAGGGCAAGGACAGCCCCGCGCGGCAGGCCCGTGGCCGGGCCCTCACCAGCGGGGCCCTCCGGGGGCGCTGCCTCTGCCTTTTCTCCCCTTTTGCTATTTCCTGTGAAGGAGGATGATTTCGGAGCGTTTAGGGGCGTGTGCGGCCATCGTGGGAACCTCGGGACAACGCCGCTCAGACCTCATGGGGAGACTCCCGCTGTCCCCAAGCGCCACCCGCGCTCTGTGAGCCCCACGGGGCCCTGGGCGCAGCTTTCCTGCAGGCGACAGGCCCTCGGAGGGCGGCCAGAGCTCCCGGCCCCATCAGAGCCGCCTGCACCCCAAGGGTGCGTCGGCGGCGGCGGCGGCGGCTGCGAGGGGGAGAAACGCCCTGAGACGGGGCCGCGTGCGGATGGGACCGCAGCGGGGGGTGCGCCCGGGACTCAGCCGGTCGGGCTCCTGACGTCCACGCTTCTGCGCTCGTGGGCCGTGGCCCCAAGCTTACCTTTCGTCTCAGGTGCCGGAAGCCGTCTGAGGAAGAGCGGGCCCCTCCCCTCGGGTCCTCTCACACCGCGCTCCCCCCCCCTGTGCGCACGGGGCGGCCGGGCTGCGTGTGGGCCGCAGACCGGGGAAGGGCCTGTTGCGGCCGCTCCCTGCGGGTGCAGGGCGTGGTCTGAGGGAGACGCCCGCAGAGCTGGGACGGTCCTAACGGGAGGCCGGCGCGGAGCTGGGAGCGCAGACCGAGGCCCGCAGGCCTCCGAGGAGAGGAGGAGCAGGGGCGGCGGCGCCCCACCCAGGGGGAGCGGGGCTGGGCCCGCGGACTCACCTGTCGTGAGGGATCCGGACCCAGAAACACCAGTGACAACTGTGCTTAGTAAGGGAGGGACACCAAAAAGGACAACTGAAAAAAGTCACAGGCAATTAGTACGCCACGCTCGGTCTGTTAACATGTTTAATAGGTGCTTAAAAAGGGAGGCACAGATTGAAGGCAAAATTCCATCGCACAGTGACGCTGGGACAGAGCCAGCAGGAGGCAGCCGCCTTTACAGCCATCAACAGACACAGTTCACAGCGCTCGCTCGCAGGAGGACGCAGCAGCGCGACCCCCGCCCCGGGGCGTGGCATTCCGACCCAGGCGCTCAGGGCGTGGGGAGGCGGCAGGACCGGGGACAGGGGACGGGGGACGGGGGCGGCTGAGCCAGGGAAACCGCCGATCAGTAACAGATCGGCGGGGCGGATCGGGAACTCCTGCGGGCCACCTCCAAACGCTTTTGTTGGGGTGCAGGAACAGAGGCACCTGCCGCCGCGTTTGGCTTTTCTCTACAAAGATGGCGTGGCAAACGGACGCGTGGCAGGGCCGCTGCACACAGAGGCCGGCTCCCCTGGGCCGCCCGCCGCGCGGAGCGGGTGCGCGGCCGCGGGGCGTGACTCTGGGGCTCCACGCCCCGGCGGCGTGGGACACGCTTCCCGCGGCGTCCCCCCTGCCGGCTCCCCACGTCCCCCTCCCCGCAGGGTTACAGGGCACCTTCCGCAGCAGGGTATCATGTTAGCAACAGGGAAGCAAGCTACTGTAGAACGAAAATGGGGCTAAATGAAATGAAAAGGCAGTGCAAGAGAATCGGGAAACAGAACACGGATTCATCGGCACGATGAGTTCACTGCGTGGCACTGAACGGCAAGGCGCTCGCCCCGCACAATCCTGTCACGGGTGCGGAAGTGGCACTGAGTGACGGAACGCCTGTCCCCCGCGCCGGAGGGGAAGCACGCAGGTCGAACGGGCACATCAGGGCCGGCGCTGGCTCCCACGCCCTTGGAGGCGTGCCGAGAGGGGGGAATGCACCTGCGGCCCCGCCGGGAAACCGGGTCCTGCTAGGCTACCCCGTAAACCTTCCCGCGTGGGGACAAAGAGGGACAAGCACTTTGTGAGCTACGGCGCCGGGCTTTGGCCGGCGAGGCCTGGGCCTGCAGGACTGAGGCTGGCAACGCAGGTTCCACGGGGACGGCAGGGAGGGCGAGGCCGCGGGGGGCCCCCTCTCCGCGCAGACCACGCGCGTCGCCCTCTGCCCTAGATGCCCAGCGCCCCTCCCGAGCCCCAGATTCCACGGCCGGGGGGCCCGGGCCTTCGCCAGCAGCGGCCCCCTCTTCCTCCTTCTGACAAAGGAGCGTGTTCTCTATCAATGCCCTTTTCATGATGCCTCTCAAAAGATCCGGCCTCCTCAGGGAATTTATAAGGCACTTCCCTTGAATGTCAAGTCCCCGCCCCCCAGGGGGTGGGGGTGGGGTGCATTCCCAGGACCGGGGGCAGCTCTGGCCCAGGCCCAGGGAGGGTGGGGGCGACACAGCGCCCGGCGGAGCCCGGCCCGCGGGCCCCCCAGGCACCCGAGCCGATCCCCGGGGAAGCGGGGATGAAGTGGCGCACAGGCTTCCATGGGCGGCAATGGCCAGGCCTTAGGATCCCCGTCGCCTCGTGCTCCCGTCCAGGGACCCCTCTGGCACAGCGGGCCGGGCGCTGCTGCCAGGCAGACGGCACAGCGAGCGCAGGGCGGAGCCGGGCCCTCCGCAGCCCCCCGCCCTGCCCTGCAGGCTTCCGGGGCGTGCGGCCCCCCTCCCCGTGCGCCCCAGCCAGGGGGGCGGAACAGCCACCGCCAGGAGTGCCCCCCCCGCCCCCGCCGCGCTCGCGAGGGGCCACCGCGCGGGGACCCTGCGGCCCCCGATGACGTCGAGGCCCTTGGGGGCAAAGCTGGGTCGTTTAAAAACCTTTATTCGACAGTCAGTGCTGAGCACACGGATCCTTTCAAAAGTCTGAAACAACCGCTTGGGCATCGTGTCCATTTTTAAAGCTGCTGTGGAAGCGCTTTGGTTTTTCTGGATTCCTAAAAGCCTACGTGCCCTGCAGGCGCCAACGTCTGAAACAGGAATCTTTTCACTGAAAGTACTGGAGACTAAAAGCAATGAAGGTAGAAATCCCCATAAAGGAAAAAAAGACCTACGTGTGTGTATCTCCATTCTGAGATAAAGTCACCGTGGTTCAGAGAAGTGCTTTCACGATTTTATTTTCACTTAAACTATGCCATGTACATGAAGCTTATTTTATAACATACGCTCCTCAGACATTTAACCGTTTTTTGGCGCACCGTTTAGACACATTGGCCTGCTCCTTGGGTTCAGCGGAGCGTAAGGTCTCAAAGGTGGCAGCACCACGTGCCTGGGACCGGGGCCTGGAGGCCACATGGCTGCGCGGCGAGGCAGCCGCGGGGGTGCTGGCGTTAGAAACGGGTCAGGTGACCCGCACTCCGGGTCGGACGCGGCCCCAAAGGGAAGGAAGGTGGCTGTAACTAGACGCAGAAGGAACCGACCGGAAAATGAGTTCTGCAAGCCCTTAACAGACATAAAGTGCGGTCCACCCGAAGTCATGGTGCGCGCCCCGTCGGGGACTGGGGCCTCAGGCGGCGGCAAAGATGCCGCCGGCGCCCGACACCCCGGGCCGTCGCTCCCGCACGGCAGGCGGAACGGGCGCCTGTCACCTTCGACAATTTCATGATCCCCAGTCATTGCGGCCTGGCAGTCAGACACCAACGTAGGTTTCAGAAACTCGTTGACCTGAGTGGCCCGGGCCTCCTCGGGCGCTGTCCCCTGGGGGGGCCACAGCCTGCTCCCCTGCGTAGCCCCCCCCGCCACAGGCCCTCCCGAATGAGCACGGCCGCGGCCAGAGGACAAGCGGCGTTTGCGTGACCCGTGTGTGGGCTCAGGGAGCCGGGCTGCTCTGAAAGCCCCTCTCCGCCCACCGCGACCCCGCCCCACCACGCGCGAACGAGTCACGTGACATGCCACGCGTTCCCTGCCGGAATGCCACCCGGGGGTCCGGGCACACGGCCCCACGGGACCCGCTCGCAACCAGCGCCGGACACGCTGCGGGGAAGGCGCCCAAGGCAGGCGCGCTCTTCCCTGTCCCGCGTGAGTCTCTGCAGAACAGTTCAACAACGGAGCTTCGCAGACTCTAGATTCAAATCAATGGAATCAGAAAATACTACAGCTTTGATTCACAGGCACGGCCCGCGCCCCTAACCCACTCAGACAAGGAGAAAAATTTGCTCACGGCGAACTCAAAGGCCGTGCGGCGCCAGAGTCTTCAATCGCATTATTGTTGTGAAGCAACGCGGGGCGAGCAGCCCTCAGCCCAAGGGGCAACGCGCGCCCCCGGTGTCGGTGCCCCAGGCGAGGGCGGCAGAAGCCACAGCAGCCATAAGCCCCAAGCGAAGGACTGGGGAGCCGCGCAGACGGGGGCGGGGGGCTCCGCCCTGCACCCTCGCTGCCCCGGGGAGCAGAAGTCACAGCGTCCTCGCATCCCAGGCCACATCCTGGTGGCCACCCCTTGTGAGGAGGGGGAGAAAGAGGGTGAGCTTGGTGGCAACAAGGGTGGCAGCCCCCCTGGCCCCCAAGGGTCTGTAAGCGTTTCCAGCAAAGACAACGAAGGCCCTTCCAGCTCAGAGCGAGTCCCGGGCGGGCGGGAGGCGCAGCCGCAGCCGCCGCTGCAGCCGCCGCCTCTCCCTCCTGCGCCGGCCACGCTACCGTGCTCCCCTACGCCTCAGAGCTCACCTTGCCCGAGCCCCGCTTGGGCACACCCCTGTCACCTCCAAAGAAGCGCCCCAGGGAGTCGAGGATGCCCGTGTCCCTGTGCCGCGGGAGGAAGGCGTGCCTGGCGTGGTCCATGGGGCTCGCGGAGGCCAGGTACTTGGACCCGTGCCTCTGAGAGGGTCTCTTCTGTGACGCCATGACGCCCGGGTCCCCGGCGGTGGCGGCTGCACTGTCCTCTTGGATGGTCTGCAGCTCGTCGGACTCCGAGGGCCTGTCTTTGAAGGTGTTGTCCTCCCTCCCGGGGGCATCTCGGGAGAAGAGGCGGACCAAGTGGGGGCGGCCCCCGGGGTCAGCTGGGTTGGCGTCCGGCCAGGCATTCTTCGGGTCCGCTGAGCTCTTGGAGTCTGTCACCGCTGGGCGCTGCGGGGGGGGCCCATTGTTCGGGTCCACATCTGCCTCTCCTGCAAACAACGGGGAGATGTGACTGCGGGCCGTGCAGAGCCGCCGGGACAATGCCGCTTTCACGGGCTGGCCCCCGGCCTCCTACAAAACCCGCCGCTGTCCCCCGCCGCGCAGCGCCGCGGCCGCCCAGGCCGCCCCACGGCAGCTCCCTGTCCCCAGGCCCGGGAGGCCCTGCCACTGCACATCTGGGACCCTAGGTGAGGCCCACGGGGCTTCCCGGCGGAGCTCACCGGCCCCGCCCCAGGTCCCCCGCGTGCTGGCCCCGCTCCGTTCAGGGAGCGCAGGACAGGGGACGGTTAGGACCTGAGAGCCACCGGGGCGTAAGGTTGGGGGCGTTCGTTGGACAAAGGCTGTTTTTAGTGTTCTCTGTAGAGAGGGCACTTCCCGCAGCCTTTTGTCTTGTAAAAAACCAGGCGCCCAGAACTCTGCGCCCGGATGCCACAGGGGCCTCGCGCCTCAGAAATGCTCGCTCAGGGCTCGCTGGTCTCGCCGCCCCGCGGGCCGCTCAGCCGCGGGGACCCTGGGAGCGGGGGCGGGGCCTCTCGCTCGGCCTCCGCCTCTGGGCTTTTTATAGGAAAAGGCAGCAGCTCTCTCGAGAGTGGCAACACACGGAATCCGCAGGCCGGGTGCGAGCCAGGTGTGAACGAGCGTCCGTCGGCTCCGCTCGCGTCCCCTCCAAGCGTCCCTCGTCGCCCCTGGAGTATGTGGCTCACTCACGCTTCCCAGGGACAGCGTCCGCCCACCTGACCGTCCAGCACTGCCCGCTGGTGTGTGCCCGACGGCCTCCCGTCATTTCCGCGTCTACCCACGGACCCGCCCCCCACCCATCCACCTCTGTAACCACCCACCCATCCAACTGCCCACTGATCCACTCCTCCACCCACCCCCCACCCCCCCAGTTATTCACCCGCCCGCTCACCCGCCGTTTACTGAGCACCTAGAAGTGGAACGTGGGGTGCTAGGTGTTTGGTTCACAGAGGTGAACAAGGTGAGTTGTGGGCGCAGGAACACAAGTGAAAATGTACGTGCGGGATGAACAACACCCCCCAAACAGCAGGGTGTCCCCGGCCTAACCCTGGGCCCCGGGAACGTGACCTCGTCTGGAAGCAGGGCCGCCTGCAAGGGCCGCCGAGTGAGGACAGGGTCGGGGCGACGGAGAGCCGGCCGGGGCCTGGGCTCTGACACACGGGGAAGAGGCCGGGGCGCGTGCCCGCGGGGACCGTGTCTGCAAGACAAGGGGCGCCCCGGCTTGCCAGGCGCACGGGCAGGTGGAGGCCGGACCCGGGCCGGGAGCTGCAGGGAGCGAGGTTCTGCTGGCAGTGTGGTCCCCGCCTCCTGCCCTCCCGCCTGCGGTCTTTAGCCACCCGGTCTGTGCTTTGTTGCAACAGCCACAGAAAATGGACATAGTATGTAATTTCATGCCACGTACTAATGGGAAGGGATGCAGAGCAGGACGGGGGCCGCAAGGCCCCTGGAGGGACAGCGGGTGGCAGGAGACCGCGCCGCAGCGCCCCGGGGTGGGGTGGGGTGGGGTGGGGCCGTCCCTCGGCGCAGGGGAGGGCCCCGGGACAGGCCCTGGCGCGGTCAGCCCGGCGGGGCGGCCCGGGGGCCGCGGGGAGGCCTGGGCCTGAGGCGGGGGCCGCGGAGGGCAGGGGTGGCGAGGCGGGGGCGGCCGGCCTCGCCCCGCCCCCCGAGAGAAGGGGACAGCGGCAGGCGCGCGTCGGGGACCAGACTTCAGGGACACGCGGCCGGTGAGCGCAGGCGAGCGACAGCCACTGGGCAGTCGGCCTGCTGGCCTCTCTGCAGAGCAGGGCCATCCCCCGCCGCCGAGAACCAGGGCGCTGGCAGGCGAGAAAGCCCAGGCCCGGCGGTCGGCCCAGGGCCTCGCCCGGGAGGGGGTCGGTGCCCCCCGCAGCCAGGCCCGGCCCTGGAACCCGGCGCCCAGGACACGCGTGCCTTCCATGCCCGCGGGGTCGCCTCTGCCCGCGGGGACACTGTCGAAACGCCTGGCCGTGTCGCAGCCACGTGGGGACCCTGGCCAGCACAGAGCTGCGGGCTTCTGCAGGGACGCAAAGCTAATTTACAGGTTTCCCCAGAAACGGCCCGATTTTCCAGCTGTGCTTTGGACTCTGGCTGATAGGAATGAATGCAAATGGAAAGGAAAACAGCCCCGCATTGTACCGGGTTAAACACGCTGACCAAACCCGGGCGCAGCTGAACGCGAACGTTTTCTCGACAGTTGGGCTTTGTGTCCCTGAACACGGCCATTTGTGAGGCGCAGAGAGGGGCCTTTGTGCTCTGAGAGCGGCCTCTCCCCGCACACCCGGGGCCCGGGGAGCTGGACTCTGTGGCCGCGCGGCGCTGTTGGAAGGCTGGGGGCAGTTTTAATTTGTGAATTAATATCAGCGTCAATCACATCAAAGCCTGGTGCCCAGCGTCTATGGAGACCGATCTTGGCGCGGAGCCCGCGGGACAGCGTGAGGCTGGGGCGTGAGGCTGGGGCGTGACGTCGCAGAAGCATCACCGACGACGTGCCACCACCGTGCAGACCCTGCCGCCGGCCGCAGGACACGCCCTTCAACACAGACACAGCTACCTGGTCGGGGGGCGAGAACAAACCCCGGGGGACTTTGGTGGCTTTGCGCCAGCCTGCGACGGCGGCAGCACCAGCAGGCAGGGGGCGGCACCGGCGGCGGCGGCGACCGCGGGAGAGGCTGCTGGAGGCAGTCGCGGTGGAGGGGCTCCTGCTCACGGCGGCGGCGGCCCGTCTGCTGGCCCTGCCCCGGCCCCCCCGCGCAGGCCTGCTCCCAAGGACGCTGGCTCCCTGGGCTCGGCCCCGCGGGGCGGCTGCCTCTGCTCCGGAAACCGTCTCCTGCCCGCTTGTCCGTTCCCTCGGGGGCAGGGCCTGCGAGCCCACGGCCAGGCCGGTCAGCCGCTCCGGCAGAGGGGCCGCGGGCCTGGAATTCGCCCGTGTGGGCCAGGGCTGAAGAGGACCCTCCTTGTTTGCAGAGCAGCTCTGTCCCCGGCGGGCCTGCCCGGGGCCACCGCGGAGGGGGAGGGAAACAAAAGGCGTCGGCGTGGCTGGGCCTTGCTATGGCAGAAATCCTGCATCTATGAGAGGCACGCGGCCGCCCGCCCGGCTCCCGCAGCAGCTCCCGAGAACCTCTGCACAAACGAGTCTTATCGGCCCACCCGGCTCGCACTGAGGCCTCCTTTGTGTGCCGGGAACACGTAGTTTTATTCTCTCCGAAGGGCTCGCCCCTCGCGCCCTCCCACAGCAGGTCGCGCCGCGGCTCCGGGGGCCCCTCGTGGGGCCCGAGTCCCTGCGCCCCACGCGGGGATGACGGTCCCTGCGCCTGGCTTCCCGGCCCGGGCGGCGTCGCCGTGAGGAGCTGAAACACAAAGAGCCCGCGGTTGACGCGGGGCCTGTTCCACGCGCACCTCGGGCGGGCCCCACAGCCCCTCTGTCCCAAGGATCACGACTCTCCACGACCACGGGGACGCAGGCCGTGGCGGCCCGGCTCCCAGCCCCGGCCACTTGCTCCCCTGGGACTCCGTGCGGCCCTCCGTCCCTGGGGTCCGTCCAGGCGGTTCTGAGCGCCTCCCACCGGGCCTCGTGGCAGCGGCCGCCGGTTTGATTAGGGGAGAGGAGGAAGCCAAGACCGCGCTTCAGGCCTGCGTGGGTGTCCCAGGCCCACCTGCTACAAGTGTCACGCCCTGAAAGCTTCCCCGCGTTCGCTGGGCTGCGCGGGACCGGGAAGGACCCCGTTCCTGGCCGAGGGCTCGGGCTGCCGCCGCCTGCCAGCGGCCAGGTCCCCACGAGCTGCCCAGGAAGGACAGCTCGGCCCAGGCTCAAGCTCCCCGTGGGGCCCAGTGTCTCTCCGGCGCAGGGTCCTCTTCCCGGGCGCGTGACCAGGCAGAGGAGTCCAGTCCTGGCTCTGGATGGTCTCGGGCCCACCCCACCCCCACCCCCGGCACGGGCCCATTGTCCTCCCCCGGGGCCCGGGGACCTGGGCCATGTCCCGTGCTTCCTACTTCCTCCTGAGGCAGAGACGTGCTGCCAGCAAAGCTGAAACATGTGCCCCAGGCAACTCGACGCCCACAGGCCGAGCCGAGCTGGCCCGCCACGGGCCACAGGCCCGCACCGCCTGACCCGTTCGCCGTCGGTCCTTGTGTGAGCCACAGTCTGACCGGAGCCCTGAGGAGCGACGCGTCGGTGCGGCCTGAGCGGGCTGGGATGTGACCGTCGGGGCCAGACCCCCAGAAGCCACGTTTTGGGGTCTGGGGCCAGCGTTTGCTGGGCGCACGCTCGCAGCCCGGGAGCAAGGGGCTGCGGCACCACGTCACCTGCATGGCTGAGGCGCCGCGGCTGGGCCTGGGAGGTGGCTTCCAACAGGTGTGTTGGGTTTAGCTTCGTGAAGAAGGCGAATGACAGTTATTTCTAAACAAGAAGATCGTGTGTGCTTGCCGAAAGGAAGCCAGTCCTCTGGGGTGCATTGTATCGAATCCAGACCCCAGGGCCACGCCGGAGCCTCAGCAGGGGCCCCAGGCCCAGACTCGGAAGGTGGCTGTGGGCGAACGGCCCCCCCGCCGGGCTGCCGGGCAAGAGCTGCTCCCGCACAAGGACGCCCACAGCGGGGGAGGGGCTGTGAGTGACAGCGGGGGCGGGGAGCAGCTGTGCTCACTTATCTCCAGGACACCAGGGGGGAAGAAACACCGAGATGAACGTGGAGCACCTGTCGCGCCCCCAGAACAAACGCCGCATGCCCGACGCCCTCTCATAAAGAGAGCTGAGCTGGGCGGGCGCTGGAGCGCCTGCGTCGCTTGCCTGCGTTGGCACGCGTTCCCCTCTCGCTCTCCTCACGCCGCTTCAACCGGGCAAGCCGCTCCACGCAGCGAGGGACGCGCTCATGCAGAATCACGTGTGACCTAGAAACCCCCGCCACACAGAGGAGGCGCCTCTCTGCGCCCTTCACGGACACGTGTGTCCTGTACGACT